TACACTGTAAAACTATTTTTTTGATGACTAAATAAATTATCACAATGTAAATAAAACACATCCAATTGAAGCTTTAGTCAATAATTTTGACACACAATACTCAAAACTTTGGCAACAGTAAACTTAACAACTGTCGTAATCAAGAGTAACAGTATCAAAAACGTCAATCCTTGCTATAAGTCACCAATACAAGGCGCCGAGGAGCCACTGGACTGATTAATTCGCTGTGACATTGTCATTAGGTGTTACTTTCAATCACAGACATACTCGAGAATCACATCAACAATTCTATACATGTAGGTTCTTGCCCTTTAAATTAGGCACTTGAATCTCGAGACTAATGTGGTTCGCCCACACATTCAGGATTGTTAGAAATAATTCAATTTTCCTAAGAACGTCCTATCTAAAGTAGTGAAAAACAGCCCGGACTGACCAGTATCAGCTATATCGAAATCAAGATTGACCTGTATACATATCAGCTATATGGTAAGTAAGACTGACCAGTAAGTATCAGCTACAGTAACCAAGACTGACCAATATCAGCTATAGTAACTCAGACAGACCAGTATCAGCTACAGGTACCAAGACTGACCAGTATATCAGCTATATAGTAGCCAAGACTAACCAGTATCAGCTACAGTTACCAAGAGTGACCAGTACATCTATACATTTACCGTGATGAGAACTGACCAGTAGAGTTATACCCAAGCTAGAATTGACCAGAGCACAGTGATACAGTAACACATATATGTTACAGTTAGCAAGACTGACCAGTACATCTATACATTTACTGTGATGAGAACTGACCAGTAGAGTTATACCCAAGCTAGAATTGACCAGAGCACTGTGATACAGTAACACATATATACAATGCTGTTCCTAACCTAACCATTGCCATTACTAAAATGCATCCAAAATTTGACTGAAATATCATCAACATTTACGGAGTTTTGGTCAGGAAATTACAGTAACGTGTACACAGACAACAAAGCTGTAGTAACTAGCTACTGCCTAAATATAATAGCAGGCTTTTTGACACAGAATATAGTATGAGTAAGTACGGAAATAGACCCGACCCCTTTTTAAGAACATCTAACATCTTGTTAAGCAGGCCTTGCATTGACAGATAAACTGGTTGAAAAATTCTCCATCGCTGATTTAACACCTTTTGTATGACCTTGAGCTTGACTTTTACATTTTATTCCCATTAATATCCAAACTAGCTGCTCTCTAACATTTATATGGGAGCAATAAAAGCCATGTGCATGAGCCTCCTGGTGTTACATATCAGGTAACTATAGAAGCTGTGATTCACACACAATGCTGGCACGTGTCAAAAATCAACGCATCATCTTCCGCAAATTTGTCATATATTGCAAGCAAAACCACCAATATGGAACTGATACTTTTCATCCAATTTAATTTGATCTGCTGATTACCAAGTCAAGTTCTCGTATTTTATATTGCATGTTGTAATTTCTAACCTGCTGTGGAGCGCAGATAGAGTCCCTTTAGGGTAAATGACATGTTTTATTTATATCAATCACCCAATCACATGTTCACGTTTATTCAACATAACCCTCGCTGCTGAAACCCTTCAGCACAATTTAATTGTACAATTAACTTTTAAGATTTTTCACAAAACTGGGAAAGCTGTTAATACCTCAATGTGAAGTAATTTTAATTCGAAATGAAAATAATAAAACTGTAAGCCTGTCTGCAAAACAAAGAAAGTAATTGAAATCTTGTCATCCTCTGAATACAATCTGGAACAAATGGTTGGCCTTGGATGGAAGCATGTGTCTGATGTCTCTCTGACACCCTGGAGGAGTTAACATAGAGAAACTGGGCTCAGTGATCACGTCACCCTGGTCACCAACATGGGGGGAAAAACTTCCTGGCTCACAACATCCTAAAACTGACACCAGAAGAGAAAGAGTTTCCTTAACTCATTCACCCCTTCATTTTTAAACAAGACATGCCCAGTCTTTGATTTGGTAAGGTTCAAATATGACCTTAGGGGTGAATGGGTTAAAGAGGATGGCTCCGGCAGGACTCCAGTGCTTGATATTTGTTTCCCCAGCTCAAACACAACAAAACAGTCCCCAAACATGTGGCTCCTGCAGATTCAAGCTCTCTGATTCATGATTGGTTAGCTTACATATATATATTTACACTAAAACTACAGGGAACTCTCTTCCTCAGATTATGCTAACCAGACTGAATCAATAGTCATGATCATGATATGATTTTTATTTCATGGCTGGTGAGCATATAGCACATATTAAAACCACTACAACAAGTGAACCTCTGATAAAGAAAGAATGCTAACCTGACTGAATAGACGTGATCATGATAGGATTTTCATTTCATGACTGGTTAGCATAGCAAATAATAACAAAACTACAACAAGTGAACCTCTACAGGAGGTATGCTAACCAGAATGAATCAATCAAGTCATGATCATGATAGGATTTGCATTTCATGACTGGTTAGCATAGCAAATAATAACAAAACTACAACAAAACCTCTACAGGAGGTATGCTAACCAGACTGAATCAATCAAGTCATGATCAGGATAGGATTTTCATTTCATGGCTTGTTAGCATACAGTAGCACATATCAACGCCACTACAACAAGTGACCATTTACAGGAGGTATGCCAGCAAGGCTGATCCAACGCACAAGATCATCATTTTGCTAAGAGATTCGTACTCTGCCAGCCAATTGTTTCCGATGGCCAGATGATAAGTGAGATTAGAGGTGAGATGATCTGACACAGGGAAGTCCATTACTATGCCATAAACAATAGCAACCAGAAGGAATCCCATTGTGGACACCTAATTATACGACCCTGCACTGTCTATATATTTACACTGTCTGCTTAGCTACATAGTTGGGCTGCGGTGGGCTAATACAGATTAATCGCAAGGAGAAATAAACTTTGATTTATTAGTAACATAAATGCTATCCGAAGTAACTGTCTTATAGCTTGTTGTATTTAATTCTTATTTCACAAGTGAAAATAGTAACATTTAGCATGGACAAGTGATATTTTAATGGCGGCTTAGTCACATAAGGCTTGTCATATAATTTAGTTCCAAAAAAAATCAATTATCACCCAAAATATACCTGAAATGACTGATTTTTATGAGACAAACTATACTGAAGGGTTAAGAGGTGGGGTTGGAGTAGGAGGGTGGGGGTGAGGGGTAGAGGTGGGGTTAGAGTTGGAGGGTGGGGG